AAAAAAAAAAAAATCGTCACTTCTTTGAGTTTGTCACTTTTTTTTTTTAATTTTATCATTTTCTGAGTGTATCACTTTTTTATTGTCTGTCACTTTTTTAATCTGTATAACTTCTTTTAATTTGTGCCACTTTTTTGAATTCATTACTTTTTAAACATTTATCACTTTTTTGAATTTTGTCACTTTTTTAGTTTTTTGTCACCCTTAAGTTTTTGTCACTTTTTAAGAAAATAAAAAAATGAAATAATATGTTATATTTTCCTAACATAATCAGCATATGGATTGGACTGAATGTGGTGATTATTTTAAGAACATGATTACTAGTGCCGCCCAAATGGATGATGTTATTTTGGTATTTATCACTTTAAGGATATTTTTGTAAGTACCCCTTCCAAGAATATATTTGTTGGGTCTGGTCTAAACGCACACGCATATGGAGGATGTTTGTATGTGAGAGAGAGAAAGAGAAAGTGTGTGTGCACGTGAGAGACTTTCTTTCTTTCTTATTGCTCTCTCTTTGGGGGTTCAATAATTGTTTATTTATAGGACTATGCTACATGTACCGAATTTTTTTACTTAATCATTTACCAACTACTCACAATAGTGGGTGGGGATTACATTTTGGGATTTTTTTATTCACGCGAGGCCCGCATGTATGTGAGAGGGGGTAAACAATTTGATAGATTTTTTTATGTACAAATATCTTTATCCTTATTTATATTTAGGCTGGGAAAGTTTCGATAAATTGCATTTTGACCCCTTTTTTTGAAGTTTTTGCATTTTTACATTTGATTGAAATTATAAAATGAAAATTTCAGTCACAGTACCAAACTTTTTACTTTTATGAAAACTTGACCCAAACCTTTTATTTATATCACTCACGATACCAAATCTTTCAAAATATCGCAACTAAAGTCCAAATTGATGGAAACTATTAGTTTGATCGTTAGTTGACCATAATTTTGACTAATTCTAAAAAGATAAAATGGTAACTTTACATTTTTCAATAAAAAACACAATTATAATATATTAATAATTAAATAAAAAAAATATAAATTAAAACAAAAACCCTCCTACCCCGGTCCCTTTCTTCCTGATCACCTTTATTCCAAAACCACCGTCACTACCAATGGACGGCGCCACCGTTGCCACAAAATAAAGGTCAACCTTCAACAAGAATATCAATTATATTGGGTCAAAAACTTCAACTAGGACCTCAGCTCTTCTTGTTTAGAATCATTTTGACCAACTCATAAGAGAGAGCAGAGAAATAAATTTTGGCATCTCACACGTACCTTTGTTATTCTTGAATTTTTCTTCCCTTTAGCTTTTTCCCTAGGTCAACCATCTATTTCTGCAATAAAAGAATACAAACAATAAGAATAAGATGCAAACACGCTGCCTTAAAATTTTTTATAAATTCCAAACATAGCCACCAGGCCCACCATCCATGGTCTGAAGTACGGGTGTTTTTTGTTAGCGCAACTATTGACATTAGTTGTAAATTCACTTTAAAAAATCAGACCTAGATCTTGAAACCATGGCTATTGGCGTTGAAGCAATGGTGAAGGAATGGGGTTGGTTGGTGGTCGTGATAGGTGATTTGTTGGTTAGTGCGATGATGGTGGTTGGATATGTTGTTAGTTTTGGTGGTTTTTTAGGAGAAACTAGCTCAGAATAGTGGCGATTTTGCTGGCAATAATGCTTCAAAAATGCTAAATGTACACACATTGCGGGCCCCACCCCTACGTGAGAGGGATGTGAAAGTGAATGTGAATCAAGTGTGTAAGTGTAGTATTATTCATAATGCTTAGAAGGTGCTAACAATTTTGGTGGATTTTGGTTTTGGGGTGGTGGGTGGGTGGGCGTTTTTTAAATTATTAATATATTATAATTATGTTTTTTGTTGAAAAATGTAAAGTTACAAATTTATCATCTTAGAATTAGTCAAAATTATTGTCAATAT